GAACTAGCGATCTACTGACTGAAAGTTGAATGCTTAACCCACATCCTCTATATGTTACGCTACTGAGGCTAAACATTTTGATGTTATTTTCATATGATTTCTTTTAAGTGTGTATCTAATCAAGTTGACGTGTCTTTTGTTTTTATATTTACAGATTGGACTATACTGGTATAGCGTTTCTAAATATAGGCTCGTTTATACCTTACTTATATTATTCCTTTTACTGCATGCTATGGGCTAGATTGTTTTATATGGTTCTGGTTGTCGTTCTCGGCACAGCATCAATTATCGTGTCAATGCATCCATCTTTCACTACACCACGTTATCGTCCACTTCGAGCTGGTGTTTTCATGGGATTGGGCCTTTCAGCTCTTATTCCATGCATACATACTATAATATTAGATGGATTCCTTAATTCCATTTTTCAAGGCTCCTTAGGTTGGCTTGTTCTTATGGCAATTTTGTATTTAAGTGGAGCAACGATTTACGCTGTTCGTGTACCTGAAAGAATATTTCCTGGACGTTTTGATATTTGGGTAGGTTACATACAATACAGCGAACATTATTTCTTTGTCTTCACAATAAACTATGCTTAATTTTTTAAAAGTGGCTATTGATCCAGCTTATCGGTCGGTGGTTCAGTGGTAGAATTCTCAACAACCGCACACTTGTTGCGAAGTTTGATCCCCAGATGGATACACTTCTAAACTTCACAAAGTTTACCAGCCAGCAGTAACCCCGGCAAAGATAGAAGGTTAGGTGTAAGACTAGTCACCATACTCCGTGGAAACAACACGAGAGCCTCTATTGAAATTTAAGAACCCCCAGGCTAAAGCCTTATATTCCCCTCAATACGCATTGGAAGGAAAAGAAACTGATCTTAAAACCAGTAGGTGTAACCCAAGGTTTTACCTTGAATAACGTGAAAAGAACGGTGTTTGCAAGTTAAAGGGAATTGATATTTTATATCGTAGGATTTTTATCGGTTACACACACCACCTGGTCGATAATAATAAAATATTTAAGTAATCACTGTGAAATAATTTCGGTATATTTTTTACTGAATAGCCACTTGGTTTTATAAGATTAAACTACAACACCAAAACAAAATCAATGTGCAAATTTTACAGGAAGTTAGCGTGACAAATTACAATCAAGATAGAGTCATTGCTAAGTGCGCGGATTCCGACATAAGCAGAATTAGTTACAGGATTTCATCATGAGCTGACATCAGTTAGAGAACCATTGGAAAATCACCTGGGAGGACTGGACACCTGTTTCATCCTAGTTTGGAACTCTTCGGCAGTACGCACCCACCGAGATTCGAAGCCAGGACCTTCTGGTTACTAGGCGAGCTCGTATACCATTAAGCCACTGGGACCCAATCCAATGGCCTATGAATTCTGGCTTCTGCCAATTCACGATATAGCGCAACCGCCAGCCAATGTCTTCGGCGAGTAATTGTACTCACACCCGACCAGCTGAACTCTATTGGTCACGACTTCCCAGTGGAACCCAGGTAGCTGCCTACCTGAATAGGGCCAGTCGCCAGTGAGCATCTCATTGGTATTCAAATCAACACTAACTAATGTCAGCTCATGATGAAGTGCTGAAACCAATCACATCCCTACAAACCAACACTTGAGTACTAACTTTGTATTATTATCTCAGTTATGTACTACACTGTGGCGTCTAGAAGAAAAGCCACTAGTCTTACTGGTTAAAGACTGACTGAAAATTTACACAGATTAACCAATTTTGAGATTATCAAACATGACAACTATTTCCTAGAAATGCTGTATAATACAAAAAGTTGATTAATGCGTACAACAACAAAAAAGAAACTGAAGTCTCTTTTCAGATTTATGAAAATGCCTTTTTCTTTAAAGTTCTTATTCATTTCTAAGCAAGCATAGACACAATTCTAATGTAGAAATCTGTCTAAAAGCGATGGGATGGATGGTACGCGAATCAAGTGTGCTTGTGTGTAAGGCTCGAAGAATGATATAAGCTATATGCATGCGCTCCACCATTATAACGTTCAAAATAAGCAGAGATATGAATCACTGCCTTAAACAATAGAGTTACAGTCAGACGGTCACAGGTTCGAATCCCTCACCACCACCACCACCCACTTCAACCTGCTTAATATCACTAGCCTTCACACAATAAAGACCGATGATAGTTTGGAGTTCAAATAATAAATAATAATGCTGTCTAAACTAGAAGATGAAAAATTGATAGCCTAGTTCACTGATAACTTTTTATTCATATTCCTTCGGCTGATCAACAATCACTTGCGATTCTATAAACCACATCTATTGCGTGTGGGTTAATGATGATGATGATATTACCTTACCATTCAAATCTCCGTAGGTGGAACTAGGTACGAACCTGTCACTCACTAATTAGAAGTTAAAGCATCCAAACAAATGAGCCAAGCATCACCTGTAATCACCTAAGTGATTAAACAAACTTTGATTTACTACATTAAGTCTCCTAATGAAAAACAAAACAAACTATTTTAATACCATACAAACAAAAATGCTCATATGGTCAGTAGAAAATTCCGATATTCTCTAAGAAATGAAAAGGTGATTAAAAGAAGTCTATTCCCATACATGAAAAACGGTAACCAAACATCATTATTGCTGACTAGTTTCAACATAGAACTTTGCACAAATGTGCGGGAGTTCAAGTCGCCACACTCCATGTAGCACACAAAGAAAGACAAGAAAGTATAAAGACATACAAAATAGTGACAGTAAACAAAGATTTGAGGCAAAAAGAATAGTAATGTCAAAGAACCATATAGTTTTATTGGGCATTATCAGACACAAGGAATGGATGCATCTCCGCCACCCATTGAGAATGATTATGAGCAATATCACCAATTGTCTCCAGCCTTCATTGGTGTTTATCGTCCCGAGGACCCAAACCAGGAAGTCGACACCTCCCTCCCTGGCTGGCTTAAACTAACTGTTGTGGATTCCACTGACTGATGAGGCCATGTTTTAGTTCGACCACCACTGGCTCTTTTCTAACCTGACCCTATGTCATCTAACATTGCCCGTCGAAGAAGGCGATGGTTAGACTAGGCATGCGTAACACACGTCCTAACCATCTCAATCGATGCGGCTGATTCACAACCTCGTTGATTGATTTCCCCTCCTTGCCTAGCACTCGACGGCTAATATCAATATTACTCACCTTAATATACCATTTCACACGGGAGATAGGTAGATTGGCACCTATGATCAAAGATAGCTAGCCTTTTCATGTCTTCCACTCTCAATGAACAAGTCCACTGTTACTTAAACTTCAAAGTTTCAAGGTGTATATTCCATTCGCAAAACACCTAAGGAATTAAGAATGAAGAAAAATCCTTTTAGTTAAATTACCGTACTACAATGACTTTGTGAACGTTGATTCCCCTTAAGAGTATTTATTATTCTTCTACACTTACGTCATAATCCAACACCAACGCAAACGTGCCTAAAACAACTTAGTCCCAAAGGAGAAGAATCCACAGTCAGGAAAACATACTTTTGCCTTCTTTCAAAAAAGACGTTTTGTGTGTTTTCAGCTTTCAAAAGTTTCAATTATGAAAATATGTAAATTCACTCATGGAAGGGATACTTTAATTAAGATAATAACAATTAATGCATACAAGTAATGCCAGTAAAAGGATAAGCTTACAACTAATTAACTAACAAGGTGGAATAATAATAATCATAGAAGACATAAGGGGATAAAGCTATTCAGGACGTCATTGACATATACTTTGAAATATTATACAGAAAACAAAGACGATGAATCAATCCACAAAAGATTATATAAACCTATATATATTTACTAAAGTTATACAATACATCAGAAGGTGCGTCAGTGGCACAGCGGTTAGGACGCTCGCCGACCATGACCATGTGCATGGTCCAGGGTTCTATCCCCCGGCCACCGACGCCGCACTCCTTTACCTCGATAAGCCAGTAATGAAAGAAAAAAAGCTGGTTAAGCCTCTAACTTGAAGCTGTATGTTCCACTAGGAACGTGAAGGAATTTAAAAAAAAAGAATACAAAACAGAAAAATAATTATTTACATGTTTGATGAATTATACTTTTTAGAATTTGACTACAGTTGTCAACATACATGGCATTGTGAAGTAATTTTTTTTACAAAGAGGAAATCAAAAGAAAGATAATATCAGTGAATTAGTTTCTTTCTTTCTTTCCCCTCTTTCTTTATATGCTCCATTTTTCTTTTCCACACCACGCCACTACACCACACCTCTCTTCCCCCCTCTCGCCCCGATTCATTGAATGGATTGAACATATCCCTATAAACAGATACCATATACAAAATGGTCCAGTTAACTCTCTCTGTATACTATATATATATATATATATATATATATATATATATATATATATATAGGAAGTGTGGTGGATCCGACAGTGACATGGGAGAAGATAATGTGAAGAAGTAATAACTATGGGTTGACGACAATCATAGAGTCAGTTGAAAAGGATGGAGTTGAAGGATCAAGTGTAATAATAGAAATAATAATAATAATTTCGCCCAGTTTTATTTCAATTTCAGTGTGTATTAAAACAGACTAGTGAATTGAATTGACTTAAGCATGTGAAATGAATACACATCTATAAACACTAGACACACACAAGCTTCTAACAGAAGATAGAAGGTGAAAGAAGCCAAGAACTGATGTACAGGTTGAAAATAAACTGAAATATTTATTACACAAATAATGATTATCTATTTTAAGAAAAACAAAATAAGGATAATTAAAAGCATAGAGAAATGAATATTGCTCTTTTTTTTAATGTATTATATGAATGAATCACTAAGTTTTAGGCTTTTATATGTGCAAAATTAATGGAATCGTAGAATAATGAATAAATAAATAAATAAATTATTCACGTCTAAAAAAGTCAAGATACATTTAAAAAAAACAAATAACCATAATTATTGATATTACTCATTAAACAGTTTCTGAGAATATATTCAATCCAAGAAGTTTAAATTCATCGGTGTAGAAGCTTAATCCAACAGGTTTACAATCACCGACAGTTAAACGATAATCAGCCAGTTTAACTAAACCATGATAATGAACTAAGGCAGCAGCCACAACAAAAACATGAAATATTTGATGACTTTGAAACTATAAAAGAGAAATAGAGAGAGGAAACCATTAATAATAACAATAATAATGGTACTATTATGGCGATGAAAAGGCATTCATTTTATAATACACATTAACTTTACTATTGAAACTATTCATATGTTACTGAATAACAATGTGGATGTGTTTGTGAAGTTTGATTATGTTGCCTATATGCGAAAAAATCAGTGAGTGGAATAAAGTTTAAGCTTTACACCTGATGACTAAAAGTTCTTCAACTGACATATCACCTCTTTTGTACATAAAGTGTGGAAATGGACCTAGTTATCGTGACCCAACCGATAGCTGCTACCTTGACGTGGTAGTAGAGCTTGCATATCTCGTAATGACTCAACAAGCTACACTGACTGGAACTTTGTTCCTGCAGGTCCTACCATGCCTGGAAGGTTGTTAGGATAGCGATTAGACTAAAAGCAGTTACCGGCATTGTAAGAGAATCTTTCTTACACTATGCTGGGGGTCTGAGGGCGAAGTCGTACTGCTGGGGAACAGAGATGTAACGGCAGTGAGGTGCTTCCCTCAGATGACCAGCATGCCAGCCACCTATGCTGTCTCTCCACTGCGGAGAGAGGGGATTAGAAAAGGTCGACCCCCAAAAATTGTACATCCTGACTTACCCTACGGTGGTCCGTAACCGGCGGTAAGTTTACTATTACGGAGTCAATCCAAGAAATTAGTTCATACACGCCGTATGTGACCGACCTTAAGCAGTTGTCCACTGAGCTCTGTGGTCACGCTACATTAACTCTCTTTCTGTTTCACGTACCCGAAGAATCAATCAATTTCCACAGTGTGCGCAGTCGGGGAGTAACAACTGCCCACACACTTCCAGAAGGACACGAAGCCATCATTCCCCTTACTCACATCACCTTCCTCATCTTGCTTCTCTACTTCAGTCAGTACTATTCTTCAAAGTAGTGAGTCCTTTTCACTTCACTCTGTGACCACCAACAACGATGAGAGCCATAGAAACACCCCCCAAAAGCCTCTTAAAGTCACGTTGCCAACTTCATATAAGAACATTTAACGTCAGGACCCTCTGCCAAACCGGACAGCAGGCATCACTAACAAGAACTCTGGCATCTCGAGACATGAATTTATTTTGTGTTTCGGAGACACGCACACAAGATCCGAGTGTGGTCACTCATTTAACCTCACCAGGTCAACAAGATGAATCTGCGAAATTCACTTTAAGGGTGTCAGAACACCCATCAGCTAGTTCGCGGGTGTAGGGATAGCACTGAGTGTTAGAGCAGAAAACTCACTTCTGGACTAGATCCAAGTAGATAGTCGTATGTATGACGTCCGTCTGAACGGGTTCATTAGCAGAAGGAAGGACAACATTATACATCACTGTCTTCTCAGAGTCTCCGCTTACACCCCAACAGACTGCAGTTCGGATGAACTGTAGGTTGATTTCTACCTGAAACTGCCTAATTTGCTGCAAAAAGCAAAACGCTCAGATATAGTTGTTTTAGCAGGCAACTTCAATGCCCAAGTAGGGAAGTTGTGCCAAACTGTGAAGTATGTAGGTGGTACGTGTGGAGTTCCCTGCCGACGAACCGACAACGGTGATCGTCTCTACAGTTTTGTTCAGATAATCATCTGTTCCTAGTTAGCACTAACTTTAGGCACAAACAGAGACATTGTGTAACCTGGAGATCTCCATCACCATATCAACACTAGATTTAAACAGACCATATAGTGACAAGGTATCGCTGGAGAGTCAATAGAAGACTGCCGCTCCTTCTGGAACACGTGCGTAGACTCTGATCACGCTCTGGTTCCCGCACGTTTATGCTTACGACTAAACGGACATAAAAAAATTGTTAGCAGCGAAGCAGTTACGTCCCCAACTAGATAGAGACGCTGAGTCCCTATATAAGGAAGAAATAGAAAAACGTTTATCTGAGGTCGACAGCAGGACTTACCCCGAGGTAGCCTGGCACAACATACAGTTAGCTGTAGACACGGCTATAAAAGCTGTTAATAACCTGAAACCGAAAGTTAGTAAGAACTATTAGATTTCTACCACCTCATCCGAACTGAGTGACGCAAAATGATTGATTCCGGCGAGCTCCGAATATGGTGACGAGCGAAAGCTGCTCAAACGAAAACTAACAGAAGGCGTTCGTCACGACCGTGGACAGTGGTGGGCGACAAAAGCGAAAGGGATGGAAAAGCCATCGACGATTGGTAATAGCAGACAATTATTTAGACTTATTAGGGAAACATGTGAGCATAGGCAAACGATAAGTGAAACAATCTCTGAGAAAAATGGGACCATAAGTAGATCACAGGATAGACGACTGGAACGTTAGAAGGAACACTTTGAGGGGCAATATAACTGGCCTACAACCACGCTCAACTTACTCATTTTCCAACACCTCCTTGAATGGGATGTAGACACGGGTCCTCTGTCCCTAACTGGGATTACGAAAGCTGTCACTAGTCTGAAACAAGGCAAAGCTAAGGGACCTGATGGAATGACTCCAGAGGTATTTAAGTACGGTGGAGACAGTTTACTGTCTGCATTAAGTGAGATACTAGCAGCCTCTGGGAATCAGAGGAAGTCCCGTGGGGTCGGTGATAAGGGAGACAACTCTTCCTGTGATAATCACAGAGGGATTAGCTAGACTAATATAGTATCTAAAGTCCTAGGCTCAATAATCATGCGTAGACTAAGTGGTACTCGGGAGGCACAAACACGAGAAAGCCAGGCAGGCTTTAGACCAGGAAGAGGGTGTATTGATCATATTTCCACCCTCCGACAGATTCTAGAACACAGGCATTCCTACCGACGGCCAACAGTCATTATACTTCTTGACCTAAAGGCAGCATTCGATTCTGTCGACCGGGAGGATCTCCTGAGGTGGTTGGCTGTAAAGGGAATGCCGACAAAATATATTGCACTGATTGAGGAACTCTACTTGTACTCATGCAGTGAGGTAAGAGCTGACGGCGAGTTGCCGTCTGAACTGATGACGACTAGTGGTGTCCGTCAAGGATGCCCATTATCCCCTTTTCTATTCAACTTCATCATATAAGTACTAATGGACTTAACTCTAAGTGACTTCAGAGACTAAGGGATCGACTTGTTACCAGGGTATAATTTCGTTGACTTAGAATATGCAGACGATATAGTCCTCCCATCTGAACACCCTGAGCTGCAATCTACGAATGTTTGGTATGCGATTCGCTCCCGCCAATGTAACATGGTGTTACAGGACTGGACCACACTGACTCCTAGTTTAGAAACAGGAAATGAAGTGCTAGAGCACGTTGACTGCTTCACTTATTTAGGAAGTTGCATCAGCCAGTGCCAACGGATTGATCACTGACGAAATCTCAGCTCCAATACAGAAGGCTCGATTTTTGTATTCCAGTTTACGCCTTCCCTGGCATAGACGTGGTATCCAACTGGATATCAATCAAAGGGTGTGTGTACTGCTCACCACTCCGCTCCGTCCTCCGGTATGGCTACCTGTTAGACCTGGTAATTGAGAGTAGAGACATGAAAAGGCTAGCTATCTTTGATCATAGGTGCCAATCTACCTATCTCCCGTGTGAAATGGTATATTAAGGTGAGTAATATTGATATTAGCCGTCGAGTGCTAGGCAAGGAGGGGAAATCAATCAACGAGGTTGTGAATCAGCCGCATCGATTGAGATGGTTAGGACGTGTGTTACGCATGCCTAGTCTAACCATCGCCTTCTTCGACGGGCAATGTTAGATGACATAGGGTCAGGTTAGAAAAGAGCCAGTGGTGGTCGAACTAAAACATGGCCTCATCAGTCAGTGGAATCCACAACAGTTAGTTTAAGCCAGCCAGGGAGGGAGGTGTCGACTTCCTGGTTTGGGTCCTCGGGACGATAAACACCAATGAAGGCTGGAGACAATTGGTGATATTGCTCATAATCATTCTCAATGGGTGGCGGAGATGCATCCATTCCTTGTGTCTGATAATGCCCAATAAAACTATATGGTTCTTTGACATTACTATTCTTTTTGCCTCAAATCTTTGTTTACTGTCACTATTTTGTATGTCTTTATACTTTCTTGTCTTTCTTTGTGTGCTACATGGAGTGTGGCGACTTGAACTCCCGCACATTTGTGCAAAGTTCTATGCTGAAACCAGTCAGTTATACCACAGACATCAACTGAAGTGAACGAGTTGGTCACTCACCCAGTAATTTGCGTCATATCGATTTAGGTAGCACACACCAGTACTACTGGTTAGTGTCAGCGGCATCCAACTAATCATCTCAAATATTCAGTAGTATACAAAGTCGTTATTCGAAAAGAAGTAACACTGTAGCATTGTGTTATATATTAAATAGAACTGTTCTATTATGGAACCCTTCACATGACTACATAACTAATTCTGCTTATTCAAGTATTGGTTTGTAGGGATTTAGTTGATTGGTTACAGGATTTCATCATGAGCTGACATCAGTTAGAGAACCATTGGAAAACCTGGGAGTACTGGACAGCTGTTTCATCCTAGTTTGGGACTCTTCAGTAGAACGCACCCACCGGGATTCGAACTGATGTCAGCTCATAATGAAATCCTGTAAGCAACCAACTAAATCCCTACAAACCAATCCTTGAATACCAATGAGATGCTCACTGGCGACTGGCCCTATTCAGGTAGGCAGCTACCTGGGTTCCACTGGGAAGTCGTGACCAATAGAGTTCAGCTGGTCGGGTGTGAGTACAATTACTCGCCGAAGACATTGGCTGGCGGTTGCGCTATATCGTGAATTGGCAGAAGCCAGAATTCATAGGCCATTGGATTGGGTCCCAGTGGCTTAATGGTATACGAGCTCGCCTAGTAACCAGAAGGTCCTGGCTTCGAATCTCGGTGGGTGCGTACTGCCGAAGAGTTCCAAACTAGGATGAAACAGGTGTCCAGTCCTCCCAGGTGATTTTCCAATGGTTCTCTAACTGATGTCAGCTCATGATGAAATCCTGTAACTAATTCTGCTTATGTCGGAATCCGCGCACTTAGCAATGACTCTATCTTGATTGTAATTTGTCACGCTAACTTCCTGTAAAATTTGCACATTGATTTTGTTTTGGTGTTGTAGTTTAATCTTATAAAACCAAGTGGCTATTCAGTAAAAAATATACCGAAATTATTTCACAGTGATTACTTAAATATTTTATTATTATCGACCAGGTGGTGTGTGTAACCGATAAAAATCCTACGATATAAAATATCAATTCCCTTTAACTTGCAAACACCGTTCTTTTCACGTTATTCAAGGTAAAACCTTGGGTTACACCTACTGGTTTTAAGATCAGTTTCTTTTCCTTCCAATGCGTATTGAGGGGAATATAAGGCTTTAGCCTGGGGGTTCTTAAATTTCAATAGAGGCTCTCGTGTTGTTTCCACGGAGTATGGTGACTAGTCTTACACCTAACCTTCTATCTTTGCCGGGGTTACTGCTGGCTGGTAAACTTTGTGAAGTTTAGAAGTGTATCCATCTGGGGATCAAACTTCGCAACAAGTGTGCGGTTGTTGAGAATTCTACCACTGAACCACCGACCGATAAGCTGGATCAATAGCCACTTTTAAAAAATTAAGCATAGTTTATTGTGAAGACAAAGAAATAATGTTCGCTGTATTGTATGTAACCTACCCAAATATCAAAACGTCCAGGAAATATTCTTTCAGGTACACGAACAGCGTAAATCGTTGCTCCACTTAAATACAAAATTGCCATAAGAACAAGCCAACCTAAGGAGCCTTGAAAAATGGAATTAAGGAATCCATCTAATATTATAGTATGTATGCATGGAATAAGAGCTGAAAGGCCCAATCCCATGAAAACACCAGCTCGAAGTGGACGATAACGTGGTGTAGTGAAAGATGGATGCATTGACACGATAATTGATGCTGTGCCGAGAACGACAACCAGAACCATATAAAACAATCTAGCCCATAGCATGCAGTAAAAGGAATAATATAAGTAAGGTATAAACGAGCCTATATTTAGAAACGCTATACCAGTATAGTCCAATCTGTAAATATAAAAACAAAAGACACGTCAACTTGATTAGATACACACTTAAAAGAAATCATATGAAAATAACATCAAAATGTTTAGCCTCAGTAGCGTAACATATAGAGGATGTGGGTTAAGCATTCAACTTTCAGTCAGTAGATCGCTAGTTCGAACCCCATCCCGCCTGCTTCAGCTTAGGGGACTGGGTAGTCTAACCAACTATCACATAAATGTAGCTTATAGTCTAGAACTTGAAAGACCTATTCCGGGGACTGAGTTAAAAATAACGGGCGTCAATAACTCATGAATGCAACTGATGTAAAATTCACTGCAAAAATTAAAGACTGATTAATGAATACAGAATACTCTTCGATAAATTCATCAGGCTGAAAAGAGTTGATAAACAACACGAAGACGTAAAGAATAAGTAGGCTTATCATGATACACTGATTATAAAGTGACCGAGTGTTTTGAGAGGTAAATCATTTAGCTTCTGAAATAAGTCCATTTATGTAATCCTAATTACGAGCCACACAGTTATTGTCTGAGGGGTGATGATATTGTAACGACAAAAGACAAAGGCTAGACAACAGATTGCTCAGAAAATCAAGGCTGAACTACATAGAGCGGAACTCGGACCCGGGGCCGACTGACTGAATTTACAACCTAAGTAAATGAGTCACTCACACAACGAAAAGATGGAAATGTCGACACAGAATGTTATGATTAATTTAAATTTTTAAGTATTGGTTTTTTTGTAGGGATTTTGTTTGATTGCATGGAGGATTTAATCATGAGCTGACATCAGTTAGAGAACCACTGGAAAACCTGGGAGTACTGGACAGCTGTTTCGTCCTAGTTTGGGACTCCTATGTCGTGAACTGGCAGAAGTTAGAATTCAAGGACCATTGGATCGGGTCCCAGTGGCTCAATGGTCTACGAGCTCGCCTTGTAACCAGAAGGTCCTGGGTTCGAATCCCGGTGGGTGCGTACTGCTGAGGAGTCCCAAACTAGGACGAAACAGCTGTCCAGTACTCCCAGGTTTTCCAGTGGTTCTCTAACTGATGTCAGCTCATGATTAAATCCTCCATGTAATTTAAATTTATCGTGAATAAGGATCGCGCTACCTCTTTTAGTATTTAATACTTCCAAGTCACAGAATTATCTAAAACAACGGCTCATCTGCAGTGGCAAAAACTAATTTAACAGGTGAAACACACTATTAGATGTACGATTAGAGTGAAAAAGCATTTGATTAGTCACTTATGATGAGATTAAAAGAAGACTAGGTAGACCAATACAATTAACCAAGTCATACAATAGTATAAATCAAAGATTGTAGAGCATAACATTTTCTAATTCATCAGTTAACAATCCAAAATATGGATTTATATTCATAGTATACTTGACACCCTGAATTACAATCTGATTAATCTTCACTGTTTCGAAATAGGTTGACAATAAAAACAATGCTCTAAAGTGATTTATTTAACATGTTTGACAGACTGAATGTACAAACACAAACAGAAATATAATTACGGTTGCACAGCTAAGCGAATGAATTAGTCGGGAATAAATCTTTTCACTGAAAGGCCTGTTCTGATTTTCATGTCTTGATGGACACTTTCCGCGTATATTGACTACTATCCAGTTATTAGGTCCATAGTTTCTTCTACACAACTGCTACCTTGCCATGGTGGTCGGGCTTGAATACCGCAGTGACCCAACAAGCTAAGTGGCTGGGACTCAGGTCTCTGCAGGTCCTACCGTGTCAGGAAGGTTTTCTGGATAGCGGTTAAACTAAAAGCAGTTACCATGGGGTACATGGGCTCCAGAATCCAATCGGATCAAATGGCGTATCAACCCATATAGGTTACCGGCAACTATGGGAATGCCGCTTCTGACGCTGCTCCACTGCCTTGCAGATTAGACTCCAAGTCAGAGGCTCGGGGTTGGTTCCTTAAGAAAACCACCTGCTTCGGTCTAGGCACCCGGGCAGTATCTCAGCCCTCAAACAGCAAATGAAGTAAAACAACAAACTATCATTGAAATTCATCGCGCGCCAGTAAAAATGATTTCAAGCAATAATGATCCCTCAAACAACTTATGTCCTTCCAACCTTACTTTTATTTTTATTCATAGTTTCCTGTATTTTACCTTTGCTAAACGTGACTTCTTAACCTTCGATAGCCGTTTGCCTTTGTCTGGATTCCCAGCCTATCTGTGTCGCTTCGAGATGTTAGTGAGTAACCCTAAAAATGGTTGTCCCCAATGTGACATCTAACACAGATATCCTGAAACCGCGTGCCGCGTTCAAGCTGGCCACCTAAAATGTTCGGAAGCTGATGAAAATCGGACAACAGGCAGGGTTCGTAAGAACATTGGAAAGCCTCGCTATCGATGTCTGCTGCATTTCGGAGACCCGCATTCAAAATCACAGTGAAGTGCTTCAATTATCCTCTCCATCTGGAAGTTCTAGTAGCATGTACCACCTGCGCTTGTCCGGGGACCCTGTGGCGTCGACATCCGGCATAGCTGGTGTCGGTGTCGCACTGAGCGCTAGAGCCGAAGCTGCATTGCTCTACTGGATTCCCATTAACAGTCGTTTATGTGCTGCGAGGCTGGAAGGTTATACGAAAGTAAGGAGTAGTAGGCCACATAGGCGGTGTCTATTTGTTGTCTCTGCCTATGCACCGACGGATTGCAGCCCGGATGCAATTAAGGATAAGTTCTACTACCAACTTAGCGATCTCTTGAAACAGGCGGGTTGAAGGGGTATCGTAGTGCTGGCTGGGAACTTGAATGCACAGGTTGGACGTCTAAGCTCAGAGGAGAATCATCTAGGTGGTCAATGGGGCCTACATGGTCGCTGGTCAGATGATGGGGGCCATCTTCTGCAGCTTTGGGCGGATCACAACCTATTTCTAGCCAGCACCAACTTCCAGCACAGCCATCGCCGTAGCGCTACCTGGCGTCCTCCCTCTGCGAATCAAGCTTGGACTCCGATTGGTCATATCGCTGTCAGTTTCCGGTGGCGAGGATGCATACAAGACTGTCGCCCCTTTTGAAGCACATGCCTGGACTCCGATCATGCTTTAGTGTATGCCAAGTTCGTCTTGCGATTTGGTGGGGTTCATAAAAGGCGTCGTCTAAACTTTGATGTGAGCAAACTAGTAGCACCTGCTACTTCTTTGAAATATCAGAATGAGCTACAGTCAAAGCTTGCAAGCAACCCCCCCCCCAAGTAGTATAGATGAACATTGGCTTCATGTGCAAGGTGCCATGCAAAAGGCAAGTGTAGCCGCTTGCGGCTTCAAAGAATGCTCCGCAAAAACCACTGGGTTTCTGCGAGTTTCTTGCAACTCCTGGATGAACGCCGGTCCATTCCGGCTGGCAGCGAATACAACAATAAGCGAAAGGCGCCCACGCGCAAGATTAGACAGTGTTTACGTGAGGACAGCGAAGCCTGGTGGTCAGAACGTGCGTGTAAGATGGAGTCAGCTGCTGCATCTGGCAACAGCCGGAAGCTGTTCCAACTCATCCGAGCTACCGGTGGCAAGAAACAAGGTGTCAGCGAGACGGTCTGTGAGGCAGATGGCACGCCAATCACCAGCTTGAAAAGACGCCTAGAGCGCTGAGCAGAGCACTTCGGGAAACAGTTTAGCTGGCCACCAGCTTCAGTGTCTACTGTCATTAGCCCCAGTGCTCCTTGGTCGGTTAGTACCGAACAATCCACCGAAGCGGAGGTCCCTAAGGAACTCCAAGTGTTAAAACGCCATAAGGCGTCCGGCCCAGACAATATACCCCCGGCTCTTTTTAAAGATGGTGGCGAGACTCTCACAATGGCTCTAACTGGGTTGTTCAGGAAGGTATGGGAGACTGAGAGTGTACCATCTATGTGGAACGAAGCCATTATCGTCCCCATCTTTAAAAAGGGTCAACGTAATTCGTATGACAATCATAGAGGTATCAGTCTGCTACCAGTCGCGTCTAAAATATTGGCTGCTGTCTTGCTTCGCAGGCTGTGCAAAATACGTGAGGGATTGATTCGCGAAGAGCAGGCTGGGTTTCGTTCAGGTCGTGGATGCATTGATCATGTGTTCACCCTTCGTCAGTTGTTGGAACACCGCCACACGTATTGCAGGCCAACGATCGTTGTGTTTATTGATATTAGGGCTGCCTTCGATTCGTTGGACAGAACTGTGCTCTGGAACTGTCTGTTAGAGAGAGGTGTACCTCAGAAAGTTGTTAACATTTTGAAAGCCCTATACAAAAACACCTCAGGTAGAGTGAGAGTTTACAACCAACTGTCACCACTGTTCCAAACCAACAATGGGGTTAGACAGGGTTGCCCAATCTCTCCATCTCTCTTTAACTTTGCCATCGATGACATTCTGGAGTCAGCTGTGAAGGATGTGCGTGAAGGTGGTGTGGATCTGCTACCTGGAGATAGACTTTTCGACCTCGAGTATGCAGACGATGTCGTCTTACTGTGCGATAGCATGCAGGCTGTCCAAATCGCACTTAATCAGTTGGCGATCAGTGTCTGTAAGTACGGTATGCGCCGTATAAGTGCAAACTACTGTTACAAGATTGGCAGGAGTCTGTACCTGCTCTCACTCTTGCGGGTGAACCGCTTGAAGTTGTGTATCTGGGTAGTTGTGTGAGTGCTGGCGGAGGGGTGACAGATAAGATTTCCAACCGTATAATGAAGGCTAGGGTGGCATACATCAACTTGAGTCACCTATGGCGCCGTCGCAACGTTAGCCTGGCTGTCAAAAGTCGGGTATACAATGCTTCGGTGCGGGCTGTCTTGCTCTACGCCTGTGAAACCTGGCCTCCCCGAGCTGAGGATATGCGGCGACTCTGCGTGTACCATTTTTTTCTACGTTTAAATAATACACTTTATAACATCTACGAACAACATCGAAGTGTGTTTCTATACACTGATCTTATATATATATATATATATATATATATATATATATAGTCTTGAGCTTAGCTTCTGCTTCAGATAACGTAGCGGTATTGTATATACATTTGACATAATCCTAAAACATATTAATCATTCACATCACCTGACTAGTACTCCCCCTACACAAGTCATCACCTTTGTGATGGATAACGCATACGAAGGATAGTGTGAATCCAATGAGATTATGATAATAGAAAACAGACTGAAGTAGTCAAACGAACTCATATATTTACACTGCTGTGCAACAGAAAATAAACATCAGGAACTGACAATTTAAACCACTTCTTACGATTCATTTTTATAAAGAAATGTTAGGTTATCAAACAACAATAACAATCGTAAAGCTTACTTAATCATCAAATTACCTGTTGAAAAGTCTTCCAATAGTTTTTGAATGACAAGACAGAGTGTGGAATAAACATGAAAATCCAAGGCAGACAACTGCACCAAAAAAGAATGCAGAAAATACAAGTTTTTCTTGCCACTGTATAAAAACCTCTGATTGAACTAAGCTGAAGATTGCAATTGCGAAAAAACTGCCACATCCTGAAACAAATTAAAGAGATACTGTATACAACTTAATCAGCGTTAGTTAGCAGGGATTTGACTGGTTCCAAGTTTTCGAGAGCGAAAAGACTTCATTTAGAGAACCACTAGGAACTAGGGAGTACTGGACAGTTGTTGCATCCTAGCTTGGGACTCTTCAACAGTACGCACTCATCACCCCATCACCAGCAATCGAACCCAGAACCTTCAGGTTACCAGGTGGGCTAGTATGCCATTGAGCCTCTGGGATGGAATCCGATGGCTTATCAATTCTAACTCCTAGCAATCCGCAATATAAAACGCGACTGTCAGCCAATGTCATCGGTGAGTATCTGTCCAACCCGATGGTTTAATGGTCAACGAGCCTGGTTTGCAGCCTAAAGGTCTTGGGTTCGAGCCCCTGTGGGGTCGTGGGTGCGTACCACTGAAAGGTCCCATACTAGGATGAAATAACCTTCCAATTCTTCTCGGTTTTCAAAGGTTCTCTAACTGAAGTCAGTAATAAGAAACTAGAAATAATTGAACGCTACAAAGTAATAGTTGCACTCGAAAAGCTGAGATGATCTATAAGTGTCTGCTTTTCAAAATAATAACAAACTTGAGAAAACGTAAGTGTTGCCACAATGACATCTCAAAGGACTGTCCAGATTTGAGTGGAGGAATTCGCAGGGAAATTTAGCTCTATCAATCACAAGCATGGAACCTAGGGTCGAGTAAAATATACCAATAAATTTTCCTTCACAATCCAAGCTATATACGACACAAATACATAATGACAACACAAGACTTGGCATTAATAAGTAGTTGTCTAATACACTACATAAGGTCATCAACTCTACATCGGTGCATGAATACTACTACATATGAATTCTTTACGTTCCTAGTGGAACAAGGCTTCAAGTTAGAGACTTGAAGTTTCTGTAGCCGTGGTATTCATTTCTACGGCATGGGGTTGCTGCTCTCATGACCGACCTTCGCTCTTTACCAGCCTTATAACCGGCTTAGAGAGGTAAAGAAGTGTGCCAGCTGGGGATCGAACGCCGGACCACATGGGTGGTTGACGAGCATTCTACCGCTGTGCCATCGACGCACGGTGCATGAATAATGATGAACAACGAAGTATAAACGATTTCCAGTGAAAATCAATTAGAGGACCAATACTCATTATTATGTTTGTACAACACGGAAATCAAAAATACAGAACTCTCGAGATAAACACTTTTGAATGCGATAATAGATACTTTGTCACTACCCAGATCATATCTGAATCCACAGATACGTGGCACACATCGATAACGAGAACATTTTAGTCCTGACCATTTTCTTTTGTCCAATTTCGTCACCGGCTACACGCTGGAAGATGATAGCCTAGATCATTCATTCCGTTTCAAAATACCTCAGATGATGCGATAAAGACAGTTCAGTGATTCGAAACAACATACACAGATTATAACTTTGAATATCAGTGAGCAGCAGGGTTGGGATGACGACAAAATCTGCACAGATAGACCGTATATAGGCGCCATTATAACAAAAAATGGTGCGACATCAATATAGGATGTATTACTAGGGAATATTATGTAAGTACCCTAAAATTGTCACTGCTGAGTAATGTAGAGATAATTATATTAAGTGACTAATCACTCTTTTGAGTATTTAAATGCATGAAGTACAAGAAAGCGGAAGATTATAAGTTACCTTTTTATTGAAGAGGGGCTAAAAGTTATTTATAAATCAAAGCCCCCTTTCCTATCTGGAGGGCTACAAAATAAGATTGGTTGAAAACTGAGATTCCTACAATTTCTAAACACCGGATACGTCTTTACTCTCCAGAAATATGCATTTTTGAACCTTAGCAATACTTTAAGGTTTATCCAAAGCTATATTAGGACATTTATAGAATTTTTGAGCAGATATATGCAGAGGAGATGTAAGTAGTGATTACTTAATTTCCTTATTATGACATTTTGAAGCCAATACTGAAATGAGATTCACGATTTAGAAAATTAATTCTGTAGGTTTCTTTAGGGAAAAATAAGCACATTTGTTTATTAATACCTAACATTTCTGTAAGTTTCAAGTCTCACAGTGCAAAACAGTCCTTGATGTAAAGACCATACAAAAACAAATAAATTCTCGGTCGAAAAAATTACCTAATAAATGAGTCCAGATATTTCCAGTTTCTGTATGAACTCTGAAAATAGACTTGAAACAAGCCCAAAATGTATTCAGCTGAGGACGATGATAATGAAGAATGAAATCATTGTCTCGTAACCATGCAGGAAGACTACGATGATTAACTACTTGCCAACCTCTGAGCCAGACATGACGCACAAATTCTTCAGCACTATGTGCCATCATTTGAGCAAGCTAATTTCAAAGAAAAATGTCGTGCAACTTAAAGCCAGACACAATAAAGATTTACAAACAACTGGAGCCATGGAGGCATCACTAATATAGACATGCACAAAAAATATACTATTACAGAATACTTATTAAATGTACATATAATTTTGGATATAACTCTAGTCTTTACATCTACCCTCAATAAAGCAAAACACAATCAAGAATATAAACTCCTAACTATTTATTATTTCACTGTTGAAAAATAATCGGAACTAGTTACGACAGAATTAACCTACTATACTTTTAAACTTTCAGTATTACTTCAACTACTGCAGTCATTATATCAAATCTGTTTGAAAAAAAATAATAACCACCTAAATTAAGTAGATTTACGATGGTAAAATCAAAAGACTTGCTTACATCACATATTTGGAATGACTGCTAAATATATATGAAGGAAATACTCTTACGCTCTTGTCTTAGGGTTCAAACTACAGAGCATTATAGTAGCGCATAACTCAAAGGTGACGAAAAATCAAAAGTACCACAAGTTACTACTCGATAGACGATGCAAATAACACTACTTTCGAGGGGAAAATAGGCTAGTACTGAAGAGATTTTAGGAATATCAAAGTGAACTGGCTTCTTTTTAAACTATAAATATGTTTGAAAGTAAAGATATTGTTGAAAATCACTGCAGCGAATTTTCACAGGAGAAATCTGGGTTGTTCTTGATTGTAGATGCTTTCATTCAATAGCGATTCAATAGTGATAAGCGACTAGAAAGCAAGTAATGCTGCGTGAAGTATTAGGAAGAGAATTTAAATCAATCAACAAGTCTGTGAATTTGTATAGATTGAGATGGTCAGGACACGTGTTACACATGCCAAGTCACCTTTCATCTGAAATTTATTGCAAAACTATTTGCAAATCTGCTGTTCCAGTGTTTGTTTAAGAGGATCTACCTTTGTGTAAAGTTCTACAGTGGATTATCTCTTTGCTCGTTCGATACAACGACATCAGTAATCCTGCATAACAGTATAAGAAACTTTTGGAATCAGTACAGGTTGTTGATTAAAGCTCTTGAAATTCATTTAATTATGTATCAAGGCGAACACCCGGTTTGTCTACTAAAGGTTAGGCAACCAAAGCCTATTAAAGGTCTTCACCTATTAGGCTTTGATTACCATCTATTACAAAAAACTTATGAAACGTCTCTTAGCGATGATTCTGAGTCAAAAACGATTACTGGATAATTACCTGAGCAATATCATATTGTCGAAGATACTCAGCACAAGTTATTTGTTCATCTTCATCTTCTCCTACGCAAGATGTCTCCCGAGCATCCATCTGTATTATTTCTTTTATAGGAAAGTCATCTTCATTATAATCCATAGTAATCCACTAATACAGAATTGAGTTTGTTAGGCTGAGACACTACATATAAATTGTGTTGGGAAATTAAGTGGTAGGGCAACACTAAAACAACCCAAAAGTTGAAAAAGAAAACAATAGGAATTGAGCAGACATATCTGAACAGACATGACAATGTCATGTTCATTCGAAGGATACTACCAACATTTAAATGAGGGAGGAAGTTATCACTAAATCAGAGCAAAAAAATAAGAAATGACTCCTAGTCTCATCATATTTTTAGCTGGTACTGGTAAATACAAGAAAAAGAATCAACAAAAGAAAAAGAATGCAACAAAATTACTGAGGGAAAACGTAAGGCTAATTATGTGGGGGAAGATGTACAAACCAAAAACTGATTAGCATAAGAATAGACTTGTGATTTACAGGCAGAAAAAGTGAGTCACCACACACACCTCTGAGACGGCGATCTAATTTACGTAACTACAATATTTTGCTAGTGTATTTCATTCAATATCTCTTCGGGAAAGCCTCGTGTTCCGGACATAAGAATAAATCTTTTAAGAATACCATTAATGTGAAATAAGAAAAATTGGTCCACAGACCAGAGGCTACATTTACATCTGGCCTATATTATCATGCGTTCAAATATCAACTGTCACATCGAAGTTCAAAATCAAAACAGTGTCATTAACCATCATAAATAGATGCTTCATTGCTACGGACATGAGAATGTGAATGCAACATAAGAGGCATTGGAGACATATTCCTGTTTGTCGTTTATCAGCATGCACATGAGGGCATAGTAAGATCAATAAATTTTTGGTGAGGAAAATTAATTGTGACAATTTAGTTTTTTCCGTCATAACCCCCAAAGGACTACCTATTAAGGGATGAAACAACTGTTTGTCTTAGTGTTGCTAAACGATACATCGTAGTGGGTTATGAACACAATTTGCACAAGCTTATTATAGTTTGATTGGACACCGGTGGCTAGTGTTATGCGTCTAGTCCTTTATTTGGTGCAGACTAAATTCAGTCAGTTTGGTTTGCAATGTGAGCACCATTCTTAGGTGGCTCGCCATCACGGTGCACATTGATTTGATGATATTAGATGGTTGGAGGCAATCGGCAGCAAGCCTTGGACCTGGGTTTCGTGCTAGCTCGCACTCGTCAGCAAGGAGTATCCGCAACCTTGAAGGAATTTATGTCCCTATCATGCTGGGACAGTAGACACCATATACAAATCCAGAAAGTACTGGGACTAACTGGCGAAAGGATCAACTCCAATCACAGTAGTAACAGTCTTAACATACCTCATACTACAAACCACATATATTTAAACCCAGCACTACTCCCTTGGGAGTCAACCAAAGCTACGACAGACGAGTGGCGGGACAAGCTACGCAGAAGTTTACCGAAGATCAGGAACCTATACCTTACAATCAAGAAGCGAGAACAAAGAAATCAAATTGGTTTATACTAGCTCGTAAAAACGGTATTGGATATATTGGATATTGGAAGTTGCATGAGTAATGTTACAGTCGGTTAATAAGTTAAACTATAGCATAGCATCTCAGCTAGCATTATTTTCGGGCTCACTGCAGATTTTTGGGGGCAAAATCTTCGGTCGCATCTAGTTACGAGTGACATTGTTCCTAAGGCCGCCCCAAAAAATCTGCAATGCGCCCGAAATTGATGCTAGCTGGAATACCACGAACGCATGACTAACCAAAGGCCAGCAAAACCACAGAACCGCGTATTTTTGTTTGGAACAACGGCGACAAGGAATTCAAGCGTCTCAGCTTCATTTACAAACATTAATCCATTCCAGAATCACAATACCGACCCAAATCTCAACCGTACATATTAAGTCTGATCTAGAGTAGGAAACATCGACCTTATAATACCTCTAACAGAAGCACTGGGTTTGAATCCCTTAAAATTCTACGTCTATAACACCGAAATCGTGACTTGAAGCAGTTCTAACCGATCATTGTGGACAACGTTTTAGATTGCACTTGCCTCCGTAGTCTTTTATGTGAAGGGCATCCAATATCCAATAACCTGATTACGAGCTAGTATAAACCAGTGGTTTCTTTGAGCTCGCTTCTTGATTGTAGAGGTTCCAGATCTTCGGTGAGCTTCCGCGTAGTGAGTCCCGCCACTCGACTGCTTTAGCTCTGATAGACTCCAAGAGGAGTGGTGCGGGACATCATCAGACTGGACTTATATATCACGTTCTGTTAAAATTTCGCTCGGAAATTTTTGTCCATAAGTTTTAATAAAACTGTGTTATTGATGGTAGTTCCCATTTCTTGGCTAGTTATGTTGGTGTCCGCGTCAAATCACAGGCCTGTAGTGCACATTGTACCTTTGAACTTTTGTTTAAACTGACTCACCCACGGTGATCCACGTTTTATCTTTTGACTTGGGAGTCTTCCGTACGTTCATTGGTTCGCTCTCTTGTTGTGCTCTCTTTTTGCACACTCTCCGAGCCTACCTCCAGCAACGTCTGCAGATAAGTTGTACAGTCACTTTATTTATTAAATCTGTTATTCTGTTACGTTAAATACAACTCATACTAAGAATTCTTTCCATTGTTAGCTTTTAAACTTTGATTGAGTTAATCAGTACTTACACGTTAGGTGGAGTACTCGTAAAGTCATAAGACGGTGAAGTTTTTAGTAAGTGTGGTGATTTCGAAGACTATCTTAAGTCTAGCTTCAACACTTACAAGTGGTGAGCCCGTTTTCACCGTTTTCCGCTATAGTAGCTTAACGTGTTAACAACTCTTTTTACGTACCGTCTATTTTGTTATTTTTTTTCTTTTCTTTCACGCACGGTTATAAAGGTTTGATTTGTTTTGTTTGTACTTATATTGGTGTTTTATCACCTTGTTAATATTTTGTCTTGTGTGCAGGATGGCTGACGGGGGGTCATCAAGCTTTGACGCAGTGGCCCATATAGCCAAGCTATACGAGGAGATCTGTAGTATACGACAGGAGATGAAATCCAGGAGTCATGGACGCAGTCCCTTGAGTTCGCGTAGTAGTAGACCCTTGCCACGTGCTAGCAGCAAGCGCCGACAGTCCCGAAGTAACCAGCCTGGAGTGTGCTGGTATCATCGACGTTACGGAGCAAAAGTCCAAAAGTGCACTCGCCCGTGCACCTTCGATGTTCAACAGTCGGGAAACTAGCAAGCCAGCACGTACTGGCGACTAACGTCGCTGGCGAACCGCTCTCATGTCGCCTCTTCTATGTTACCGACCGTAACACTGGGATACGCTTCCTAATTGATACCGGAGCAGAGGTCAGTGTAATCCCACCCACAGTAGAGGAGCGCAGGCGGCCAATGTCTCTTCAACTACGAGCCGCAAACGGCTCGCCAATCGCTACGTTCGGCAGGCGCTTTATAGATCTTAACATCGGTTTGCGTCGTTCACTTCGTTGGGTCTTCCTGGTGGCAGACGTTACCACAGGTATAATTGGCATGGATCTATTGCAGCACTACCAATTACTGGTAGATACAGGTAATCATAAGTTAAGAGATCCTGTCACAAACCTCTCCGTCAGCGGTATCGTCACACAAGGCCCAGCCCTCAGCCCTGTATATGCCACACCCACTAGCACTGGTCCTTATTCGCATATACTGCAGTCTTTTTCAGATTTGTTCAAACCTAGCAGCGGCCTGCCATGTGCGACTTCCAACGTCACACTGTCACTACTGGCCCGCCAGTTTTCGCAAAGCCAAGGCGACTATCCCCAGAAAAACTAAAGGTTGTCAAAGCGGAGTTTGAGCATATGCTAGAAATGGGGATTATTAGGCCATCCAGCAGCCCGTGGTCCTCACCGTTGCACCTGGTACCTAAGAATAACGGTTTAGATTGGCGTCCTTGTGGCGACTACCGCAGACTAAACGCACAAACTGTTCCCGATCGCTACCCTGTCCCTCACATACACGATTTAACCGCCTCACTCAAGGAAGCTCGAGTATTCAGCAAACTGGACCTTACACGGGCTTACTACCAAATTCCCGTCGACCCCGAGGATATACCTAAGACTGCTGTGATTACACCGTTTGGCCTGTTCGAGTTTCTTCGAATGCCTTTTGGCTTACGGAACGCTGCTCAAACCTTCCAGCGTTTTATACATGACGTTTTGCGCGGGCTTGATTTCGCCTTCGCCTATCTAGACGATATCTTGGTAGCTGGTCCAGATGAAGCCACTCATCAACTTCATTTGCAGACAGTTTTCCGAAGACTTGTGACACACTCCCTCACACTCAACTTGCCGAAGTGTCAGATTGGAGTCACTTCCCTGAATTTTTTGGGACATAGGATAGACAAAGATGGAATTTATCCGTTACCTGACCGGGTAGAAGCTATTCAAAACTTCCCTCTACCCACTTCTCCCAAGGGGGCGTTGATAAAGCATATCCCCTGTTTGAAGTGGCGCCTTTGGCTTAACCTTGACGGCATTTGCGCGGTTTCGTTGATTCGAGTTGTGGCTAGTCGTCCAGCAAACGTAGTAGACGCTATTTCGCTGCTTATTTTGCTCTTGTTGGATGAATTTATATGAAAATTATTGTTCGATATTGTTCTTGAGCATTTGCTGATTGCTTGTGTGACAGGACGCTTAAATACATGGTTCATGCAGTGATTTTTGGCATACCGAGTAAGCTTCGCGTACATTTCAACGACTGTCATTCGATAAATTTCTTTGCAGATTGGCGGAAACTTGTACTCGATCTCAAATTTCCCTATCAGCTATTGTGCAGTACCTATTACTGCTGCAGGAACCAAAGAATATGGTTGATATCGAATTCCTGCATCCTCCCGCACTTCTGTGTGTTGTTTTGATAGAGGAAAGTCAATAGAATGCATAGATACAAGCGAAAATTAGTGTTCACAAATGGGCAGAAATTGCAATATGTTTTACGATCACTTATAACATTCACTGTTTTCTGCCGAAGTTTTTAAGTGAGTTAAATGCACACTGCAACATTTTAGTAATTTGGT